TAGTTAGGTAAACGTAAACTAAACTAACTACTAGTATATTTACTTACTATAGATATATATATATATATATATATATATATATATATATATACCATTTGCGATACCATCTCAGGAATGTGAGATATTGGTTAACATTTGAATTAGAAGATGGCATGTTTACAGCATCAAACCACCTCAAAACCACCTTTTCATTTCAATTGAATTCTCACTTATAGTTCAGAAATAGTGTAAGAAAGAAAACATTTCTTAGCAAAAGAAAGAAAAAGTAGATGGATGGCACAACAAAATCAAGAAAGCTTAGCAAAATTTAGGATAACCAAAGAAGAGGGAAAACAACTGATGTGCTCAAATGAAGTTCCTGAATAAACAAAAGAAGAAGAGTTGATGCTGTAAGACATGCAAATGAGTTCTGGTTCTCCATGTCTTCCATTGAACGAGTACATCAGATAGTCTATCTTATAATGAGTAACTTACATTAAATTCTATACTTATGAGAGGGGGGCTAAATAAAATAGAGAAGGGAGGAGACATAGAGAAAAAAATCACAATTCTCATTGTAGAGGAGATATAGGATTTTTTGAAATATCTCCTTATAAAATTAAAAACTCAAACTTGTATCAAAATTTGATTTATTAACTATGTTTGATGCAAGTTTATTCATATATATTGAAAATAAAGTAGTTTAAATTAAATTTTGAATTTAATTCTGTAAAAGGTCGTGACCTGCAGACTTGGATCCATCTGTAGTGAGACAGTAAAATATAAATGCCTATGAAACTCAAACTGTTTATCTAGTTGCTTATTCATTTAAACTCAACCTGGGTTCCTCTGCAAAATTTAAGCAAAGTTAAATCTAGCTCTGATTCCTCAAATTTTTATTAATCTTTTTTTCTTAAACTTGTAAAGTAGCAACCTCTACCAATCTAGATGGCAATTTGATATAGGTGGTATAAACATTGTGAAGTACTTGTATAATTGTGTATTCCTTCTAGTGAGAATAATCTTGTAGAATCAAGTTAAGATCCACTATTAGAGAACAAAAATTTGTTTGGAAACAAGATTTGACACTTTCACGTTTCCTCTTCAATCAAGGATTTGCTTGTGAAAGAATTAGTGGTTATTTTATAGCAGATGTTCCAAGTTGCTTTAGGGCACAAGAAGTTAGGAGTTCAGCTTGAAGTGACTTCAGAGATATTAAATGTTGGCAATATTTGGATTAGCAAACATTCAACAATTCATCTTTTAACATAATTTCTAGTTTTATGTACTATTTTGGCTAATTTCTAGTTGATTTGGTGATGTATGTGTGTTGTTCCTTTAACATTGCTAGCTTAGTTTACATAATTATTTTTAAAGTTTGACATTGTGTGTTATACAGAACATAGCAATATGTAAAGCAGTTAAATTAAAAGAACTTGTAATATGAAAATTAAAGTTTTATTATGGGTTATCATTGTTTTGCTAGGTTTACCTAATGGTGTCAAGGGGATATATTTGAACAAGGGAATAAAACCATTATGTATTGTAGTATCAACAGTGATACCACATGTCTAAACAGCAAAATGAATACAACACAAACACAACTGTTAAATAAGGAAAAAATATACTAAATATAATTTCAAACCTGAATACTGATTAATGCTTGGCTTTTGCATTTTGATAAAGAGAGCATCTTTGATTCTTTATTTCTTTATATTATTTTATATGTCAATGATTTTGACATCTGAAAAAACAAAAGTATGTTTATTTTGAGTCATGTGCTCAAACACAAAGGAAGTGGCTCGTAAATCTTCTTTTGATCTTATAGACACTTATCAGCAGGTTTGTACAATGCAAGAACTACCACAGTCTTTGCATGTAATTTGCTACAAGAATCCTGAAGTGCTCTTGTCAACAAGTTTGTGTGATACAATTTGACCAAGCTTTCTTGTTGGTAGGAAATAAAATTTCACATCTAAAACCATGTTGTATTCTTTAATTGTTTTGACAATGCTTTTATAGGATGGCATGTAAAAGCCAAGGGATATATATGGTAGAACACATAATAAAGATGGTTTTCTAAATTGTTGATTATATCTTCAGGTTGTGATTCATTTTCTAGGGATGATAAATCTTTAATATAATGTCCTCTAAGGCTCATGTGTATACTATGATTAATTTTCAGGAACTTTGAAGAGTAACAGTAGATAGTTACTTGATGTCTGTAATAATTCATATCATAGTAATGTCAAAATCTCTTGTGGATATCAAAGCTTTGTTTACTTGAAATGTTTTACATGATAAATTTTTATTAATATGTAGAAGTTCTTATTTCAATCTTATGGGAACTTTAGTTGCTTGTGTACACGTTGTTCTAATAACAATGTAAATATATCATTTCACTAATTTTTGGGTTAGAAGTGTAAACATATGTACATGTAGTATTTTTGCCCCTTGGATTTTATGTTTTGTTGATTAAGTATACTCTTACTGGTTGTTTTGATTTGCTAAACATTTCATTTGAATTTAAGGCATTTTATATGTGTCATAAATTTTGGATCTTTGTTCTTGTTATCTCAGTAGCATGTGAAAATTAAATTATTGATTAGGAATTTTTTGTACTATGAATTATCATAAAATGACATATTTTTTTTTATTTTATTGCAGCGAAAGATGTCATTTGCTGGGATGAATACAAAAAGAAGTAATTTTGAAGACAGTGATAATCTGTTTATCCAAAGTTTAGAAATAAAAGGACAACTTGCATGAGAAAATGTGATAGATTGAAGGTTTCAATAAATTATTTTTGACCCTACAATGTGTGGTGGAATACTTCTCTACCTTGTTTTGTTTTGAACATTGAAGAATAACATGTCAGAATTCAACCACCATGTGATCAAAAATAACACCTTGGTGCCACCACAGACCATTTTTTCAAGTGGTCCTGGGATCTTTCCTGCTGGTGGGGTGGTAAATAATTCACCATTAGGAGTTATTCACACATTACCAACTCTGGGGTCAAAGACAAACCAACCTAATCCACGGCTGAGTTTTTTTGCGCAGCCTTGCACACCATCTTTGCTATCATTGTCATCAGCTTCAGGATTTCAGCCAGTCCAAGATAATACCTTGTCTTCGTCCTTTGAATCATACATACCCGTTTGTCCTTCGTGGACACCAGTGGACAGTGGGGGGTCATATGTAGAATCTGATGGTCGTAACTCTGGTACTTCTGTTACTTTGTTGCAACATCCTCAACCAGCAGTAACTGTTGAAGGAAGACCTTGTATACAAGATACGCTAACTCACTTAGTTGGGAATCAGGGAAAGAATTTAGTTCTTTCATCAACTATGATGTACCAAGGGAGCCATTCACTTCCAGAAAGTGTAACTGTACCATTTGGATGGAAACGATTAACCTGTGATGGAAAAGTAGTGTATGTTAGGTAAGTTATCATTAAATTGAAAGAATTATACTGATAGAATTATCCTTAAACTAAACAAATGAGTATTATAATTAATTTTGTACAATAAAGAAAAATAGTAATACATATGATTGTACACATACTCACATATTAAAATTGTTTTTAATCTTTAATGTAGGATTCACGACATTCTCACAAAATAGAAGTGTCACATCATTTAAATCAATTTTTTCTGTTTAAGTTTTGATTGTGTAGTAAATATTACTTCAAGAACAATATATGAATTCCAATTTTTTTTATAAATGAATGTGCAGGACGTAGCCTAGTGGTTATTATGCCAGATTGTGAATCTAGTTCAAAATTAGGGATGACTAGCATCTGGGTCTCGTGTAGCTTTTTGCAAAAAATCGGAAAGAAACAGACACAAAGTATGTGTATGTACCAAAAATTTAATTTACATCCACCTGCATGCCTATAGTAACTTCTGTGTGAATTTATTTTGCACAGTATTAAATATAATTATCATTTGATAAATAATTGTTGTTCTTAACCCATCAACTGCGGCAGGAGCAGTTCATTTGCCATTTTCTGATTCACGGATAAAACTGAGTTGCCATCAGTCACAATAAAACTGTTATTTTCATCATTTGCATAGAGTTATAGTTATATATGTGAGACTGACGGATATTTCTGTCATTCACAGCTGAGCCACAGAACTTCAATAACGGAAATATCCGTCATCCACAGTTAATGGGTTAAGGAAATATTATACTCTTTTTCAAATTCTTAATATTTTCCCTCATGATTTCAATAATGCTTAAAATATAAATACGGTAGTTTCAGTTTTTACCATCATAAAATAACTTACTTTAAATATAAAAAAGACATTTGTTCTTCAGTTTCTTTAAATTTCTCTCTCTCTCTCTTTAACTTTTTTTTTATATTTATATAAACCACTAAGATTATTTATTAAAGAACTTTTTAAGATAAGTTTTAAAAAAAAGTAAAATTTCTCCATGGTTGGAGTTTTATTTTAATATTGTTTTGGAATTTATGTTAAGAGTATATGAATTGTACTTTAGTGGAAGTGCTGTTCTTGTAAGTTATATTATTGTTTTTCTCTACAATTTATTTTGTGAAATAATATTTTCACTAAATTACTCATTTGTCCACAGAAGAGATAACTAGTGCATCAGAGCCACTGCCAAAAAGTTTTTTGTGTATGATCCAGGCCTTTGAATGAATTCTTAACCCATATGTAATAACATGAACTGTACTAGTCTATGATGCAATAAGTATTAAACTATATCTCTCCACCAATAGAAGGACAACACATCATCCTTGAGCACTTTGTGCAAACCAAAAGTTCATTCATTGTTGAGTCATATTCTTTTTTTTTCTGACAAATAACTAAAACAATTAAATATTTTGACTGCGCTCAATTTTAGGGATATAGTTTCAAATAAAAATTTGGACTTTTTTTTCTTTCCGTCCTACATTGGTTCTTTCTTGTCCACTATATGCTCATCTCCTCCTCCTACTTGCTTAACTTATTCACTACCTATCCTACTTGCACATTTCCGAGGCTCTACATTGTAACCCTGACAGCTTTATTAGGTAAGATCACACATACCTGTACACCACACTGGTCTCAATCTCTTCTTTTGCAGTTGCCCAGTTAACTTTTTTTTTCATTTCAAAGACTTAATTGTTCAGGATGCCTTATTTTCTGGAGGTTGACTCTCTCTCTGTCTTATCTCGGGGACCTCCATTTGACACCTTTTGAAAAGAGGTTTTTGGTAAATTCCTCATACTTTGGAAACTGACTGCAGTAGCCAATCAACAATATTTTCTGCTCTACCATTTATCTTGGTCCATGAAGACCCCAGATTTGTCATTTTTAGGAAGTCTCATCAGGTCACCATCTATCCTGCTTCTCATCCTGGTGTCCCTCCACTTGACAGGCCAGTCATCGAAAGGCTCAGATATGACTTGCATTTGGAGCCATGGAATACCATGACTCCAGTTCTGTGGGAGCTTAACTCTTACATTTACTGCACCTGTGAATTTCTTTAGCAGAGGATCTTTGGGTCACACAGGTGCTCTTACAGTGACTTACCCTGTCTTCTCTTGTCTCTGGCTGTTGACATCTCCAGACATTTTTGTGTCACATCACATCCATCACACTATGTTCTCATCACCCTTTGGGGTTCTTCTTCTCCTTCCAATTGCCATTTTTCAGTCTTCATAGAGGAGACACGGAAACCCACTGAGTGGACAGTTTTACCTCACGGGTAATACTTTCCTATTCCAAAATCTGACAGTCTAGCAAATGAGGGATTTTATGCAAATGATTTTGGCTTACACAAAATGCTTAAGGCAAGTACTGTGTAAAGAGGATGTGTCAACCTCATATTGGTGGAGGGGTATAATCTAATGTTAGCTGCACCATAGACTAGTAACATTCCCATTTCGGCGTATGAGCTCGTTCAAAGGCTTAGTGCATATCACAATTTTTTGGCAAATGTGCCAAGGCACCAACTGTTTGTTATGTGGAGAGGTAGGTATCTGTCTGAAATACATTTTTAGGTAAGGATAATGTTAATTTTTCTCTAACATGAGTAATTAGCTATTATTAAAAAGGAATTAACTCGGGTTTCTCAGGATTTGTCACCTGTATTCAGTGTAAATAATTTTTTTGAGTGATGAAAGCCGAAAATATTGAAGTGCAGTCAAAGAGAAATTTTAGTTCATAGATTCTGAATTAGTTGGCATTTGTATTTTGAAATCTAAGAATCCTAACTATTTTTGCATTACATAGTTGGACTTATGAAGAATATAAAAACTAATAAGACTGTAATATATACCTTAAGATATTCAGTGTTTAGTTGTACAATTTGCAAAACATTTCTTTTAGTTATTTTATTCAAGTTAAATATAATTTATGATATAATTGGTTAAATCTAAGTCTAAGTTATATGCATCTGTTTGTTTACTTGCTTGGAATGAGTATGTACATGTGCTATGAGTTGGTATTTTTTGCTCTTGTGAAGTATTATTGTTTATATGGAAAAATAAATAGCAGTACTACACTTGCAATTATTTTGTACACATATAATAAGTTACATTTTTGTGGATTTTTTATATTTTTTTTAAAGAACTTTCAAAACTATCTTACTCATACCTTGCCATGTAATGTTTTAAGTTAATACTTTAATGAATCCCTCCAAAACACTTCATTATATTTTGTATTATGTGCATATTTGTTTTAGTAAAGTAAGAAATAAACAGCTTAATATTCCATTTTACACGTGTCTATGAAAAACGAATCTTAAAAATTTATTAATAACTCATTTATTTTTTTGTTTATAACTTTGTAATGAAATCTTATAATACTATTTGATTTCTTTCAGTCCCAGTGAGTGTCAGTTGACTTCTTTATCTGATGTTGTTATGTACCTGCAAACAGAAGGAACTTGTAAGTGTGGACTAGAGTGCCCTGTTGTTCCAAATAAAGTTTTTAACTTCAATCCAGCTGTACAGTCAAAAGCTTGGGCTCTTACAGACTCTTGTTGGAATGATGCTAGTAAGTTATGTATTCATAAACGGAAAACTGTGGCCATGGCAACATTTCAGAACAGCACAAGCCTTAACCCATCTTCATCACCTTTGAAACTTTCTTCTCAATCAGTACATTCGTGTAGCTCAGTGACAGCAATAAAAAAGAAAGGTAAGCCTAGCATACATGCCAAAAAACATTTATATGTATTTAAGAGATATATTGTTTCTTTAGTTTAATATTCATATTACAAACATATTTTATTAAAAAAAACTATACACATATTATGCTTCTTACAACAGACATGTAACTCACTTAATGAAGTCTTCTGAAAATTGACAACTTCATGACATGTAGTTGTATGTAGTGGTTTGGCATATATTTTTAGTATGCAGGCTAGATATGAAACAAATTTACCTGGAGTTGTTTGCAATTCAGTCATAAAACACTGTAAAAGCTAAGAATTTATATATTATGGTAGATATCTAGAAAAAATATAATATACTTAGCTCTTTCGTTATAAAGCATGAACAAGTTATATCTAAAATATATTTTTAACATATTGTAATTGTATTATTATTATCTTTTAATAGAGTAACAGTTTCTCTATTGGCAGTCCTATATGAAGAAATAAATTTACTTTGTGCCCACTGAGCTGTGAGACACTTGAACATTAATAATTTTCCCACCCATCTTTCAAATATAAGAACCTTGCTTTGAGACATGATGCTTTTAATATGTTTCAAAAAGTAATTGCGTAATAGTTAACAAGGTAAAGACTGTAGTGTATTATAAGTATTAAAGTAGAAACTTTTATTTTCTGCAGATTCATCCTCTTGTAAGAAGAAAAAAATGAGAACTAAAAACAAAAGCCCTTTTGATGGAGTTCTTGTGTCCGAGTTGTTGGCACAGAGAGATAAAATGGGCTTAAGAAAAGAAAGCAAAAATAATAATCTGATTCTTAGTTCAGTTGCTGTTGAAAAGAACCGTGGTTCTTTATCATCATATAGCAATAGTCCTGTTAGCAGTCAAGCATGTAACCTGCTGCCAACACTGTTACCCACTGAAGATAGAAGTAACTTTCAACGGTTCTGCACACCACAAGAGTTACTTCTGGTTGATACTCCTGTTCATAATAACAGCATGAGAGTTTGCCCAAATAACAGTCAGTATCCACAGAATAAAACTAGTAATGAACTTTTTGTGTGCACAACAGTGACATCTTGTTCTACTGCACCTTCTACCTTCAGTAGCGTTTCACATTTAGGTCCCTATGGAGTTCACTTAAATATGTCAAATGTACAAAGTTTCTCTCAGAGAACAGAATCAGGTGATAAAAGACATACTTCTTTGGATACACCACGAGTAGGCCAGGTATCCATTTCACTCCCCTTAGGTCATCATATGCAGTCAGGGCAGTCATTATTACCAATACAACAAAATATGCAGACTCCAGGAACTAAAAGTTCAGAAGTTCCCCGTGGACCTTCTCCACAATCAGTAGTACGAGGTAATGTTCTTCATTCCCAGCTTCAAGTTAACCAGTGCATTGGTTTAGGTGGACAATTAAATTCTTGTATGATGCCCCCTGGAGTTTGTCCATCATATCAACGAGCACCTGTGATGCAGCCACATGGTTCAGCGCATGAAGAATTAAATTCTTGTTTAAGCAATAATGAAGTTTCTACACCAGCCACACAAAAACTTGCTCCAAACTTTTTTTGTCGTTCTGCCACAGACCAGTCTGTTAGTTCTCAGGTTGGAGAAGGTACTTTCAGCCCTAATGGTAGGCAGAAACTAAAAAAGTCTTCAAAAGTGAATAACACTGTACGTCTTTTTGATCGTGGATCTCCATGTCCAAATGTAGATGTAAGGCAAATTCCTCCTGAACATCATCGACCTCCTGCTGGCACACTAGCAAGTCAGACAGTGTCCAAGAGGAGTGCAAGTACACCAATCGTTGGTGTAAGTAGTGAATATCTAGCCACTTCACAAGGTGGTCAGTCTTTGACTTGCCCCCAAGGCATTCCTGTAAGATGGTGTAGCTCTTCCAGTAGTCAGAATGAAATTGTAGATGCAGTTGTTAGTAGTCTGCCAACTCATAATTTAAATGATCAAGTTACTCCATCCTCCATACCAGAAACAGGTGGTGGAATCCTATCTTCTAATTTAAATAACATGTTTGATGTTAGTAACACAGATTGGACTTCTAATTGTTCCAAATTAACTGTGTCTGTTGATACAGAATTACCATTGCAAAAAAGAAATATGTTTCCACTTATGGATTCTCAAACTTCCTCTGTAAACACCAGCAGATTATTGAATAAGAATTTGGAATCATTTCCTGTAAACTCTATAAATCGAGTGCAAAATAGTAGTGAGGTAACATCTGAAGAAGGCTTTGATGTTAATTCTTTGCCAAAAGTTGGCCTTCAAAATTCTGTTTCATGTTTTGGACCAAGTACAGAGATAGCAAACTGTAATGGATCATACCCTGGTATGTTGGTGCCTAACATTAATAATAACCATTTCTCTGCTAATTTACATGCTGCAGTAAATCTTCAAACACCATCAAGCATCCAAGCTTCTCCTTCAGTCGTGAAGATTCATGTTGCACCCCAGACTAACCAGATATCACCAGTTCAGGTCATTCAGCAAGTTGGAATGATTGGGTCTCAACAAGTGCGTCCCAGTGTGATACAGACCCAATCAGTTAGCTCAGATGGGACAGAGAATACAGCTAATGGAAGCACTCCATCTGTTGAAAACATGACATCATCAACTTTTGTTCAGTTTCCTGGTCCAAATGGAGCTGTACGCTCTCCATTATGGCAACATAATGCATCCTCTGGTATTTTAGTGCAGAATGTATTCAGCCAGCTCAGTCAACGTGTTTATACTGAATACACACCAAATACAGTTTTACCAACTGCCTCAAGAACCCAGTTTGCTCAACACCTAAATGGAATGGTACTGCCTACAGGATTTCAAGGTATGTCAAATTCCCAGCAAATTTTGATGACTCCAGATGGTATACGAGTACCAGTTGGAGGACCAGCCGTAAATTCCATACCTACTCCTGTTGGAGAAGCGCAACCATTTGGTCCAGCCCAACAGTTATCCCAACCATTATTAATATCTGATGGATTGAGGCCAAACTTGCTACAGTCACAGCAGCTTGTACAGAATGGTTGTTTTATAATTGGATCATCTCAACCAAGTTTCACTGTAAGAAGTCCTCATCTGTCAAGTCACAATATACCTTTGGGTGTGGGAGAAGGTCCATCACAATGTGCAAACATTTCTATAACAGTTCAGAATGACAATACAGGAACTTTGATTTCCTCTCAGCCTTACACAAGAGTTGGAGCTATTCCTTTAGCAGCTTCTACAAATCAGAAAACCACAAATACAATGCAGTCTTTTGAACGATCACTTCCTGTAACACAACAACCAACAGTTATATATGATAGACACGAGTTTGCAAGCTCAGCTCATTCAGAAGAAAATGGTTGTGCACAGATCTCTGCAACTGTGAGCAATGGTGGGTGTGTTTCTTCAGTAAAGCCAGTTACGGCAACTAATGCAGTTGCTACAGTCTCCAGGGGTGTACTCATCAGTGCCAACACTGTAGCAGACAACAATTCTCTACCTGGTACAGCTTCTTACAACCGTCCAAGTGCTTCAGTTTGCAATTCTGCAGTTAACCAACCACTTAAAAACATTAATGGTATGCCAGTGCCAGGACAACTTAGACTGAATAACTCCATGCCACCCCTTTCCATACCTAATGTGACAACAGTAACTACATCCATGACCCAGGTTATACCTGCTGTGGGAATGGTACCCCAAGTTTTAAGCCAGCCAGCACAACCTGTGATGCAGGTTTTTAATTTATTATCTCTTCCAGCTATGCAAAATACAGTTCTTATTCCTCCTGGACAAAACTTCTTGCCTGGACCTCTACGAATTGAACAGCCTTCTCCAGTAATTGGTACTCCAACACATCCAACAAACATTACTTCAATATTAGGGGGGTCCAGTGGTGCATTAGCTACTACCCCACTTCCTTTATCCAGCCCCACTTCCTTTGTTACCCTCTCAGCTCAACAGGATGAAAGTAGAGGAAGATCAGAGCTTTATTCTAAATCAGTATCTCGGCCTAGTTCTACTTGTAGTACTCCTTTGTCCAATAATGGCTCCATTTCTTGTGTGCAAAGTGATGATTCACCAAATTTCTTTCATACACCAAATAGAAAGAAGTCAAAAGAGGGTAAAAAAAAAACAGGAAGTCAAACAGTAGCCTCCATGTTGCAAAGTGGAACTCAGAACTCTTCTGTATTGTTTCCAAGTATTACCATTACACCTCAGCAGCAAACCCAGCAAGCCCCAGTCCTTCAGACTTTCACTGTGCTTCCTCCATCTTCAGCTCAGCAATCCAGGCAGTTAATGCAGCAACAGCAACAGGTTATAAGTTACAATGGCATGAATCCAGTCATACAACAACAAATGTTATCGTCAGGATTTGGAAACCAAGTGAATCTTCTTCAGCCATTTGGCATGATTGGGCTCCCTTCAGGTGGTGGAGCTAGTGTGATGCAGAACATCCCTTTGCAACAGTATGTTTCTGGACCTTCTTTTCACTCCATTGCATTGGTGCAGAATCCTCAAAATATCAGCTCTTTTCCCCAAGAACCATCTGTTTTAGTGCAGGGTCCTTCTAATTTTGGGATTCATTCTAACCCAGTTCAATGTGCCTTTCCTGATGGTTCCTTTGTTTCTAATGTGATTCAACCCAGTTCACATGTTTCTGGAGCAGATGTGATCTTGAGTCCCAACATTCAAGATCATTCTTCAGCAGGAGGTATTCCACGAGCCATCATTCATCATCAGGGATCCACACCAGTGGTCAGCCATAATATGATATCTGCCTCTGTTAGTACGCCATCATCATCATTACCTTGTAATACGTTAATACCTACAACAGCAACGAGTCACTTAAACTATATTAGTGCAAGCTTAAACAGTCAGACTTCTTTAAGTGGTGGGTTTACTACTCATTCAGCTTCAGCTGAGGAAAACATGCCTGAATTGTCACTATGTATGGTGAATAAACCAAGTGATCTTCAAGAGTCTTCTAGAGCTAGAAGTGTTGGAGTTCAGAGTGGAGAGATGGAGCATAATGCAGCCGTGCAGACAGTCACTTCAGTAGATTCAGTGTGTATCCCGGTGAATGAACCTACACCATCAACAGAAGCCATTACAGTTGTCCCCAAACAAAATGTTGACATTGGCAGTGCCTCTTTACAGGAATATAATGAAATAGAAGAAGAAAGCATGTTTCAGCCTTGTGAAGAAGAGGCTAGTGAAACTCTATGGCCAGACCCTGTGAATCTGTCTGCAGCTGTAAGAGCAGTCATGCAAAAAGGTAGAAATAATGTGCGAGACAGCCCAGTGCCTGATTATCCCGGTGAATCGTTCAACAAAGAAGAAACTTCATTGTCTACTGATGTTCATTCAAGACTTCCAGATCAAGACATTGAGCAGCTTGATAGTGTTCAGAACTGTGAAAGTACAGATTTTCAGCAACAGACAGTATCTGAGGTGAATTTAGCACTTGACTTGAGTAGAACATGGACCTACTCAAATCCGTTTGTGAAGGAAAATAATCATAGTTTACTAGAAAACCAGAAAGCCAGTAAAAGTTCTCTTGTAAAACATGGGTTAGAGGAACCCAGTGACAGTATAGAGAACCTTCAAACTAAGTGGGGTACTTGTTCATTAGAAACCTTGCCAATAGATCAACCTGACAATGCAGGTGAAAATGCTTCATCTGCTTCTTCTGATACCTCTGAACAGTCTTTGTCAGGTGGGGATAACCATTCCATAAGTGATTCAGGTGTAGAGTCCAGTCAGGAGCCAATGAACCTTGTTTGTGGCCGAGATGAGAGGGAAGATGAAAACAGAGTATGTTTAGAAAGCAGAGATGGAGAACTGCAGTCATCAGCAAACTCAAAGATATTGGAAGGGACTACCAACCCCCTTGTCACTGTCAGTCGGACAGTAGTGAATCAGAACTTTGAAACAGAGACGTGTAAAACTGAAAGGTGGTCTGGGGTGAAGAGGAGAAGAAGGGAAGTGTTTCCTATCTCTCAGGAAGATGGAGATCAAGACTCTGATGGTAAGAAAGAAAGTATTTTTGAATTATTTTAAATGCATTAAGCTTTCTTTAATAGTCATAATCATTATGCTAGAATTTAAACATGCTTAATGTTATAAAGGTCTCTAAATGTTACATATTTATGGTATATAGCAAAATATGTATAGAATAAAGATTTAAAAAGTTGTTGAAAGTTGTGATTGGCATAAAAAATAACACTAAAAAAGAAAAAGATTAAATGCATTTTTTTATATCTTCGTTTTAACATGCTAAATCAGCTGAATTTCATCAGAAGTATATTTAGTGATAACATAGTTTTCTTTATTTAATTAATCTGTGCTTATTTAGACATTTTTAATACATACGAAAGAAATGTGTGTGTGTGGGAATATTTTATCAACTTTAGTAATATTAACTTACTTTTATTTTGGGAATTAGAAATAGTAAATGAAGTTCAAACATTTATATCAGACCTTCAATTTTGGTACACATGTACTCACACTCCATCATACTCCTTATTTTAAGGTTGGGTGCACTATAAAATATGCTTTTCAAAACAATGGATATACTAATTTAAATTTATGTGACAATAACAAACTTCTTGATCACATCCAAATCTAACTAAGAAATCAAATATCTGTTCACCAAAAGCTACTAAATGAAAATTTCAACATCTCTTCCCAAAGTCATGTGTGGCTTAGTACTTAAAGGGTTACTTGACTTAGTACTCAAGTGTTACTTTGGGTGAAGTTTGAAATAAGGCGGTAGCCACGAGCTTGTTACTAGTCGTGCTGATCTATTTGTGATGCATCTTCCATTCAAGTATCAACATTTCTTGGGTGACATAAAGCTGTTAGCCTGACATTGGCTAATGAAAGCAAATATTTAAAATTATTATGCATTTTTTAGTGGGATAACAAATGTAAAGACAGGTTAATTGTCAAGTGTCTAAGTACACACACATATTAATCTATTATACCTTTGTCTTAAACAAGACTTTAAAATTTTCCAATCAGTGATTAGTGTAAATTAAATTTTTTTCTCTTTAACATTGACATTAATGATTCATAGGAATTTTTCTGAAATTGTAGTTCTGCAGTCTACTTAAAAGTATAATTCTTGATGTCATCCTATACTCTTCATTGACACTCTTCTAACACTCTCCTGACAAGTTCAAGTCCAGAGCACTATTGTACAAGTATATCTGTAATTTATTTTGGATAATATAAAGAAAGAGAAACAACATTTTTAGCAAAAGGAAATAAACTTTACTTACAATCTGAAAATCTGAAAAAAGTTATGTAACAAAGTAAACTTATGGACAAATTAACCAAAGTAACTTACTGTGAATATATAAAGTTCAAAATAAATGAATTATTACTGGGCAAATTAAAAAATAAGTATTGATCAAGTTATAGTAAAAAAAAAGTATTGATCCAGCTATAGTAAAAAAAAAAGTATTGATCCAGTTATAGTAAAAAAAATGAGAATTTAGGAGGGTAAGAAGGGATAACTATTTTATGCTGAACTTTATTGGGTATTTGGTTGTTATATGACATGAAAATACCTCAGTGTAATGGGTTTCTCTTACCATTATGCATTCCAGTCAGCCAAATTCCATTTACTCTGGATTGTATTTCAGGCTTTACTCATGTTGATGTTATTATGGGTCCATTCCAGACATTTGGACTATTTTTTTATCTGATCCCAGGATCCTGTTAACTATGTTTGCTTTACAGAGCTAGATATCTGCTCTTCCTTTTTTCCCCATTGGATTTTCTTTCCAGCTCTGTTCTTTGCAGCATTCTTAAATGTGAAAGTGTCTAGCATTCTTTTGAAGGCACTCATTCAGATGTTTTTTTAATGAATTAATAAGTTTTTACTATAACGTATTTGGCAATTATACATCTCCACAATTATTGAATTTGTTTTCTTTTAATGTAAGGGTTTTTGAGATTTATGGTTATCCTTTTCTTGGGAGATAAAAAAATTCAAAATTTCATATTTTGATGCTATCTTCAGACCTAATTTAAATGGACTCCAGGAAATATTCTTTTTTAGAGTGTACTGTTTTATTTTGTTTTTTGTCTACATTCTCTTCCCTCCTACACTTCTCAATCATAATCTATTTCTCTTTAATTGCACAGTTCTGTAATTTTAATTTTGAAATGAAGTTTATTTTATTTCTAGTTCTAATCCCAATTGCTTTTTTTTTAGGGATTCTTCTTTCTTGATGTTTCATCATAACATCACTTTAGGCATAACAGTATTCTGTTCCTTTGTTCTGCTTGACAGGTGGAATTTTATTCATAAGCAGGATTTGTTTGCTTTCACCATTCCAGTAGTACATTTTTTGATGAATGATGCTAAAAGAATAGTATTTTTCTTTTTCATCTAAAATAAAGAGTATTTCATTTAGTGCATTTTAGGCTTACACAGCAGCACTTGTGATTATTTCTTTGTTTCATCAATAATTTGCCTCATTCACCTTCAGATAGAAAAATTTTAAAAACTTGCTGGTATTTCATGCTCTTACTTACTCTGTTTGAGTATTTCTTGTAATTTTTTCAATATTTGTTTTATTTTGGTTTATACCTGTATACCACAAATGTCCTAAGTGCTTTTTGTTATGGTAGTTTATATATCTTATGATTGGTCTTTTATAACTTAAGACTTGGTATAAAGAATAATATTGTCTCCTCTTTCTCTGTTGGTCATGCACATGTAGTCTGTTTTTACTTGAAAGAATGGCTGTTGTTCACCCTTGTCTCTGTGTTGGTCTTGCACATTTAGACTGTTGTGACTTGAAAGAATGGCTGTTGTTCACCCTTGTCTCTGTGTTGGTCTTGCACATTTAGACTGTTGTGACTTGAAAGAATAGCTGATATTCACCCTTGTCTCTGTGTTGGTCTTGCACATTTAGACTGTTGTGACTTGAAAGAATAGCTGATATTCACCCTTGTCTCTGTGTTGGTCTTGCACATTTAGACTGTTGTGACTGTAGGAAGGATGAAGATCACCCATCTGTTCCTCTGTAGCCCTGGAACATTCAGATTATTGTGTTCTATCCAAAAAATTTTTTATTAAACATGAAAACAGTTCAAATAAACTTTGGTATGAGTTTCTTGATTATTTAAGATTCATTAGTTTTTATGTTTTGCTCCTTGTTGTAACTTCAACAAAAGAACAAGATGTACAACAGGCAAGATGTAAGAATTAAAACAACTTTAGCCATCAAGAAACTGAAATCAAAGTTGAATTCTAATTCATCAGCAGTTAAAATTTTTCTAAAAATGTAAGTGCAAATATATTTTTAGAAACATTGCCAAAGCCAAAAAGCCTATCTTCTGACCCTCTTTTTTTTATTAATGTTTTTAAAGATCTAAACTGATGTGTTGCTTGCATGATAATTAGATTTTAGAACTAAAATAGTTCAGTGGATGGGGCTCTTTAGTTATTATTTTGTAATAATTGTCTCTAGGTGGAGTTTGGTGTTTTACAAATGGTGGATGGTGTTTTTTTAATAGCTGCTTTGGTATTGAATTACTGATAGTTTCAGACCACACTACTCACATCTTTACAGAACAATTAGCTAACACCTTGGCACTGCTGCTGAAACATTTTTGTGCATGCTTCAAGCCATTGTAAAAGCTCTCAACCTTGCACGTAATAGTATGTACTGTGCTAGTCTATAATGCAATCAACATTAGACCATTCCCATCCACTATCAGGAGGTGACACAACCTCCTTGCACAGTACTCCCCTTGAGAATTGTATGTAAACAAAAAGCTCATTCTTCAAAACAGTAATCACCTCTCTGCAGAACAAAGAGCTATTACCTCATACATCTGCTGAGAATACTTGTGCATTCCACAAGCCTTGAACAGAACTCCCTCCCTACATGTATTAAGTGGAATGCACCAGCCTATAATGTAATGATGATTAGACTGTAACCCTCTACAAATAAGAGAGCGACACATTTTGCATGTAAAGTAAATCCCGTGAACGCTAGCGTTAAAACAAAGGCTTTTCATTGCTTCCTTAACACTGCTTTGTTCAGATGTGTTTTTATTAAGAATTAAGAGAATTTTTGCACTTGTTTGTTTAAACTTTTATTTTTTATATTGTAATCTTTCTTCCCTTTATTTTCTTGATTATGAAAATGCAAAATACTAAATTTTAATAATTTCAGCTAGAACTTTGATTGGAATTATCTTACATTTGATTTTTCCTTTTAATGAAATTTCTATTTTGGAAAACATGTTCCAGTGTCTGTGATAAGGTTTCTTTGACAATATGATTTTGTGTTGTTTTAACCCAATGTACACATTTTGTTAAATACTCTTCAATTTCAGCATTACACCAGTGATGTAAGCCTGTGTACTATAGACAAACCAATCCAATTTTTATAAACAGAAACACAAAAAAAAACAAATTTCTTTGGGTTCTCACACTCTTCAACAGGTGTCATCTAATACTGTAATGGTGACTAGAGGCACTCTGACAATTAGTGTTATTACCATCATTGTTCACCATGTGATTGATTACATTCTGATCTTGGATCCAGGATTCTTGACACCCTCCATCTGTTAATTCAGCTGAGCCTGCTCCATCTTTAGATGAGCTTAACTCTATGTGCACAGGGTCAGTCCAATGGACTGATCCAATATTGGAGAATTAATGTGTACTATAATTCTGAATTTACTATTGGTATCTTCAAAAAATTTTGTAAACATTTAATAAACATTACATTTATGTTGTGCACATAAAAAATCAGAATTTTAAATGAAGTATTTCTACTACATATTTGTCTGTGAATTTATCAAGTCTATGACTGTAACTAATGAGTGCAAGGTTATAGTTTTATATTTCATTTGCATAACCTCTAATATCAAAAGTTTGTCAGTAAAAGTTAATATATTTTCTGTTATTTTCTCTACCTTAACATTAACTGTAGTGAAATCACCTGTAATTAAAGTTGAAAAATGTAAAAATAGCTCGTTTTTTTGTGTTTTTTGTTGCTGGAATGAGTA